ATAAACTTGGTTAAATATTTTCTGAGAACTAAAAAAATAAAACAATATTAGAAATTAAAACCAAATAAGATCATTCAGATAAAACAACTAAGTCTTTCAAATAGAAACAAGTCCCAACAATCTTCCATCCATAATTTTGAGTCTATGGATAAGGATACAGTGTACCAACTAGAGGGCCATCAAAAGAACTAATGAGGGCTGGCATTGTGGCGCAGTGGGTTAAGCCACCGCCTGCAACGCTGGCACCCCATATGAGTGCCGGTTCATGTCCTGACTGATCCACTTCTGATCCAGCTCCCTGCTAATGTGCCTGGGAAATCAGTGGAAGATATTCCAAGTGCTTGGGTCCCTGCACTTATATTGGAAACCTGGAAGAAGCTCCTGGCTTCTGGTTTTGGCCTGGCCCCACCCTGGCTATAGCAGCCATTTGGGAAATGAACTATTAGATGCAAGCTCTCTCTGTGACTCTCACTCTGTCTAACCCTTCCTTTCAAATAAATGAATAATTTTTAAAAAGAATATTAGCATTTGTAAAAAAAATGTCTGATTGTGGCAGAATGTGAAAGAAGACACTAAAAGACAAACCACAGTGAGGTGTGAAATGCTTGAGGGGAAATAAACTTTAGTTACTAAACTACAAAGTAGTGAGAGTTTCTTTTTAAAATAATTTTAATTTATTTAATTTGAAAGGCAGAGCAACAGAGAGAATGGGACACATACACACATATCTATATCTATCTATATCTATAACTATATCTATATCTATATCTATCTATATATAGAGAAATATCTTTCATTTGCTGGCTCACTCCCCGAATGGCTGCAACAGCCTTGCTGGCCAGGCCAAAACCAGGAGCCAGGAACTCTATCCAGGTCTCCAATGTGGGTGTCAGGGGCACAAGCACTTGGTCCCTCTTCTGTTGCCTTCCCAAGCACATTAGCAGGGAGCTGAATTGGAAGAGGTATACTCGGGACTTGAACCTACACTTTGATATGGGATGTGGGCTTTGCAAGTGGTGGCTTCACCACTGCACCACGATAGCTCCTGTAGTGGGAATTTATTTTCTTTTCATCTCTTTAAAATATTTTATTTATTTCTTTGAGAGGCAGAGTTACAGACAGAGAGAGGGAGAGCCAGAAAGAAAGGTCTTCCATCTGCTGGTTCACTCCCCAAATGGCCACAAAGGCTGGAGTTTGTCTGATCAGAAGCCAGAGGCAGGAGCTTCTTCCAAGTCTCTGACATGGATGCAGGGGCCCAACCACTTGGGCCATCATCTTTCTACTGCTTTCCCAGACCATCAACAGAGAGCCGGATTGGAAGTAGAGCAGCCAGGACATGAACTGGTGCCCAAATGGGATATCAGTGCTACAGGCAGAGGCTTAGCCCACTATATAGTGCCTGCCCCAGAAATTTCTAGCAAGACTTAGTCCTTTTTAAAATTAAAAAAATTTTTATTGGGGCTGGCGCTGTGGCACAGTAGGCTAAGACTCCATCTGCTGTGCTGGCATCCCATATGGCACCAGATCAAGTCCTGGCTGCTCCACTTCCAATCCAGCTCTCTGCTATGGCCTGGGAAAGCAGTGGAAGATGGCCCAAGTCCTTGGGTCCCTGCACCCACGTGGGAGCCCCAGAAGAGGCTCCTGGCTCCTGGCTCCTGGCTTCGAATTGGCCCAGGTCTGGCTGTTGAGGCCACGTGGGGAGTGAACCAGTGGATGGAAGATCTCTGTCTCTTCCTCTTTCTGTCTGTAACTCTGCCTCTCAAAGAAATGAACAAAAATTAAAAAAACATTTTATTCATTTACTTGCATTTTATTTGAAAGGCAGAAAGACAGGGAAAGAGAGACATCTTCCATCTGCTGGTTCACTCTCCAAATGCCTGCAACATGTAGGGCAGAGCTTGGCCACAGTGAGGAACCTCAAACTCAGCTTGGTTCTCCTGCATGGATATTAGGGACATGGGAAATCGAGTCATCACCTGCTGCCTTGCAGGGTGTACATGAAAAAGAAGCTGGATTAGAAGTAGAGCCAGGATTTGAACCCAGGCTCTCTGATATGGGAAGCAGACATCCCAAGTGGTATCTTTATCACTGTACCAAACACCCATGACAGTCATTTTGTAAAAAATCATTTATTTGAGAGATTGAGAGATACAGCAAGAGAGAACTCCAATCTGATGACTCATTGCCAAAATGCCCACAATGGCTGGGGCAAGGCCAAACTAAAGCTGTGAGCTGAGAATTAAATACAGGTCTCTCACACGGATGGCAGGGACTCAACCACTCCAGTTATCATTGTTGCCTCCCGGAGTCTGCATCAGCAAGAAACTGGAATTGGGAACCAGCATTGAAAACTGAACCCAGGTACTCTGTGTAGGACACGGGTGCCCTAACCTGAACCAGGATCTTAACCACTAGGTCAAATGCCTGCCACGTCAGTCCTTTTCTAAGTCTCAACTTGTGTCTGTTACTCTGGCATCATTATCAGAAAAACACTCCTTTTTTTCTCTGTAACGTTTCCCTGCAAATTTTATAGGTAAGGATCTACTTTTGATGTAGACAGTAATGAAATCACACTTTTTATGATTCAAAAAATAATCAAAGTTAACAGATATACAAATTACCCTGATCTGATCACTATATTTTGCATACACATATTAAAATATCTTGTACTTCATTAATATATATAATTATGTGTAATTTAAAACGTTTTTAAATGCAAAAAATTATGAAAAGGAAACAGTTAGTGATGACTCTAGAATCCCTAGGAGCAGAAGATATAGAAAAATAAGAATCCAGATTGATATTTTACAGATTGTAGTAAGTTTTTCTCTTTCCCAGTAGATAAAAGGTTAGAACATGCTTCGGGGTTGTAATATAAAATATCAATAGCATACATAAAAGACCCATTGCTTATTATAACTTATTCATTAATTTTTTTTGACAGGTAGAGTGGACAGTGAGAGGGAGAGACAGAGAGAAAGGTCTTCCTTTTCCATTGGTTCACCCTCCAATGGCGGCTGTGGCCGGCGCACTGCCCTGATCCAAAGCCAGGAGCCAGGTGCTTCTCCTGGTCTCCCATGGGGTGCAGGGCCCAAGCACTTGGGCCATCTTCCACTGCCCTCCCGGGCCACAGCAGAGAGCTGGCCTGGAAGAGGGGCAACCGGGACAGAATCCGGCGCCCCAACTGGGACTAGAACCCGGTGTGCCCGCGCCACTGGCAGAGGATTAGCCTATTGAGCTACGGCGCCGGCCTTATTTCTTAATTCTTAAACTTGACTTCTTGCTTCAGAGAAATTATAGCATCTAAAATTAGTCAAAGCGTTTTCAGATGTTACATTAGGCCCATTCTTCTATCTGAGGGTACCACATACAGTGATAATCTCTATTGCTAACAGAAAATACCCCATATTTTTGGATTAGTTGGCTAAATAATTATGAAATATTATTACTTTATCCCAATGATACTGCCTTTTGGCGTAAAATTCTCCAGCCAGTGCTTGCATTACCTTTAACTGATAAAGGAGATTTCTATTTCTATAACTATATTTTTTTGGTAATTGTGCTCCTTATAGTTCAAGAAGTGTTCATCTCCCAAAAGAGAGTTTTTGGACATTAAATTACCAAATTGTAACTTACTTTTGTTTGCTGGTAAGTCTTATCTTAAAAGTGAGAAAGTTGGGGGCTGGCACTATGGCACAGAGGGTTAAGCTGCCTAACTCTATACCTTTTATTTTTGCTAGTAAATCAATTTAAAGATTTACTAACTATGTTCAATGGACTAATAGGCAATTTTTAGTTCATGATTTTCCAAAACCCTCAATGAATCTTTCTTCCTTACAGAGAGTCTCAGGGAATGGTAACATTTCTGGGGAAATAATAATTTGTAGAACAGTATCTAAATACATTCATCCACAGGAATTATTTATTACATAGTTGTCATAAAAATCATTTGATTAAGCTCATATATGATACATATATAAAAGACACCTTGACTAGCCACATATATAATACAATCCCTATGGAAAATAATAAACTAGTTTAAATTCCCTAGATAAAAGCAGAACAGCTTGAATTTTATCTTGGTGAGCTAGGGAGGAATTTGCACCATTGCTAATTCTTCACATTGTACTTAGAGTCACACCACTGACACGTCTGAGCTAACAGATAAGACTACTTGGTTCTTTAAGCAGACTTAAAGCATTATTTGGACTAGTTTTCATTCAGGCCTGACAAATGGTGGGTCATTTTCAGAATATCTTCTAGTCTCATAATATTTTCAGTTAGCTTTGATTGTCTCATAGTTCTCTGAATTTTGATTCTTTGCAGTCACCTTATCAACAGATAAGTCAATACATAATTCAAAGACAACATCAGTATGAAATCATATTGATTAGCTCATTTCAAGGAGAATCAGTGAGGAGTGTCTGACAATTCCTGATGATCTCTCCTGTGGCTTTGGTAGAGGGAGGTTCAAAAGATGAAATTAACACTAAAAACATCCCCACACTATTAAGATAAAGCTATTATCATGGTTGTAGAACAATATCAAATAAATACAAATTTTGAAAAACAAATCATATCCAGGATCTTCCACTGTTAAATAAGCAACAAAGGCATGAGAACACCTGCTATATTATACAGAGTAAATACCAGACTTAGAATGATAACAAGGTTATCTCTTATTTGTAATAAGTCATGTCTTCATAACATAGGGAGAAAATACTTACAATATGAAGGTAATAAAATTGCCTAGAAAATTGATATTATTGATGACCTATCCAAATAATTATGTCTGAAGATAGTATCTTGAATACCTAAATTTTGAAATATTTCAAGTTGTACGTGAAGACCTAATATCTCTGTTGCAATGCAAAGGTGATCCAAAACAGCTCAGTAAAATAATTTAATTAATAAAAGGATAAAATGATTAAATTTATAGGAGAATGCGGAGATCATAGGAAATATTAAATGGTATAAAAATTAAATAATTTCTCACTTACCTAAAACAGCATGCAATTCTTTCATTAACTCACTAAGTTTGACTTTTCCTTTAGCTATAAGACAGAATTCAGACAGTGATAAAGCCACTTAGGAAAAAAAGAATAAGCATTAAATATTTAAATTATGAAGCAGAACCTAGATAAAGGCTACTAATCATATCTTGTCTTTCTAAAATTTATAATTCTTGGACTTTGATGGATAGCTCGTTATCTGCAATAGATAATAAGATTGCTCTAGTCATAAAATCTATCTTGGGTGAAATGTTCTTTCAAGTCTTATGGATACATTCTCTTTCCTATTCCATGTTTCTTTTGGAATGACTGATAACACATACTGGTGTACCTTTATGGGCACTGTTTATGGCATGTAGTTATTTTCTACCATTGGAGAAAGCCAAGGAATTTCAGGAAAAGGAGCAATGTAGAGCATAGTATGTGGTGAACCAAAGCTTTTCAATCTCACTTGAGAGGAAAAAGAGTCAAAGAGGCTGATTAGAGTCGGAATAGTAGTACGCTGCAATAGTTAACAGCTGGATTCTGATTTCAGATTGAATGACTCTGGGCATACAGCTGTGAAAAAAAGATAAAATTCCTGGCTCCACGGAATTTATGTATTTGTTGCTGTTCATGACTGTATTCTAGTGATGGAATAGAGACTGGTACATATTTAGGTGTTCAATAGAAATTTCTATCTATAGATACCATGAATCAATAAATTGAATGAGACAATTTATAAAATGCTTAGTATTGGCCTGGCATATTTTAAGACTCAAAACCCATAAGCTATAAGAGGTTATTAAGGGTTTTAATTTGAGGAATAAGAAGGTAAGATTTTCAATTTAGTTAAATAATATTGGTTGGTTTATGGTTGTTAGAACAATCATGAAGTGCTTGTAGTAGTGTAAGCCATGAATAATGAGGATTATCTCCTTTTTAATTCTATCTATTATTATTACCAGACCCTTGATGTTATTTATATGATCACTTTAACACTTAAGATGGCATTTTACCACCCAGCTTAATGGGATTTGGGGTCCCATGGCAAGTTTTTAAACTGTATCCTTAGATTAAGTTATTAATCCTTTAACAGTTACATAGTTTGCAAATAATTACTCCCATTCTGTTGGTGGCCTCTTCACTCTCCTGAGTGTTTCTTTTGCAGTACAGAAGCTTCTCAATTTGATGGAATCCCTATTGTGAATTTTGGCTTTGAAAGCCTGTGCCTCTGAGGTATTTGCCAAGAATTCTTTGTCTGTGCCAAGGTTTTGCAGCTTTTACCCAATGTTCTCTAGTAATTTGATGGTATCAGGTCATAGATTTAGGTCTTTAACCTATTTTAGGTGGATTTTTGTGTAAGGTGTAAGGTAGGGGTCCTGTTTCATTATTTTGCATGTGGAAATCCAGTTGTCCCAGCACCATTTGTTGAAGAGACTGTCCTTGCTCTAGGGATTGGTTTTAGCTTCTTGGTCAAATTTAAGTTGGTTTTAGATGCTTGGATTGATTTCTGGAGTTTCTTTTTCTGTTCCATTGGTCTATCCATCTGTTTTTGTACCAGTACCGGACTGTTTTGATTATAACTGCCTTGTAATATTTCTTGATATCTGGTGCTGTGAAACCTCTGGCTTTGTTTTTGTTGTATAAGATTGCTTTAGCTATTCAAGGCCTCCTGTTTTTCCATATGATATTCAGATCATTTATTCTAGATCTGAGAAGAATGCCTTTGGTACTTTGATTGGTATCACATTGAATCTGTTAATTGCTTTTGGAAGAATGGACATTTTGATGATATTGATTCTTCCATTCCATGAACATGAAAGATTTTTCCATTTTTTTTGTATCTTCTATTTCTTTCTTTAATGTTTTATAGCTCTCATCATAGAGATCTTTGATATCCTTGGTTAAATTTATTCCAAGGTATTTGATTTCTTTTTGTAGCTATTGCGAATATGATTGATCTTAGAAATTCTTTCTCAGTCATGGCATTTTGTGTGTATACAAAGGCTTCTGTTTTTTGTATTGATTTTATATCCTGCTACTTTACAAAACTCTTCTATGAATTACAATACTCTTGGGGGAGTCTTTTGGATGCTCTATACATAGAATCATGTCATCTGCAAATAGGGATAATTTGACTTCCTCTTGCCCAAACTGTGTCTTTTGATTTTCTTTTTTTAAAAAAGATTTTTATTTTACTTTATTTGATAGAGTTAAAGAGAGAGGCAGAGACAGAGAGAGAGGTGCTACATCCACCAGCTCACTCCCCAAATAGCTGCAATGGCCAGAGCTGCACCTATCCAAAGGCAAGGGCCAGGAGCTTCTTCCAGGTCTCCCATGTGGGTGTAGGGGCCCAAAGACTTGGGCCATCCTCCACTGCTATCCGGCGCCTCAGACCAGGGCTTCAATCCACAGTGCTGGCCCCTTGATTTCTTTTTCTTGCCTAATAGCTCTGGATAAAATTTTCAGGAATATATTCAATAGCAATGATGACAGTGGGCATACTTGTCTGGTACTGGATCTCAGTGGGAATACTTCCAACTTTTCCCCATTCAATATGATGATGGTCGTGTGTTTGTCATAAATTGTCTTGATTGTGTTGAGTAATGTTGTTTCTATACCCAATTTGCTTAGAGTTTTCATCATGAAAGGTTTTTGTATTTTATCAAATGCTTTCTCTGCATCTATTGAGATAATCATACGGTTTTTGTTCTTTGATTTGTTAATGTGATGTATCATATCGATTGATTTGCAAATGTTGAACCATCCCTGCATACCAAGGATAAATCCCATTTGGTCCGGGAGAATAATCTTTCTGATGTTCTGTTGGATTTGATTGGCTAGTAGCATTTTTTTGAGGATTTTTGTGTCTATGTTCTTCAGGGAAATTGGTCTCTAGTTCTCTTTCTCTGCTAAGTCTTTTGAACAGCTTTAGAAGAATTGGAATTAGTTCTTATTTAAATGTCTGGTAGATTCAGCAGTGAAGCCATCCAGTCCTGAGCTTTTCTTTGTTGGAAAAGTCTTTATCACTAATTCAATATCCCTCTTGGTTATGGGTCTGCTTAGGTTTTCTATGTTTTCATGGCTCAATTTAGGTAGTTTGTATGTGTCCAGGAATCTATGCATTTCTTCTAGATTTCCCAGTTTGTTGGCATACAGCTCTTTGTAGTAATTTCTGATGATTCCTTTTGTTTCTATTCTGTCTGTTTACATTTCCTTTTTCATCTCTAATTTTATTGATTTGAATTTTCTCTCTTTGTTTTTTGGTTAGTTGGGCCAATGGTGTATCCATTTTGTTTATTTTTTCAAAAACACAGCTCTTTGTTTTGCTGATCTTTTGTAATTTTTTGGGTCATTTTGTTGTTTTTTTTCTCTAATTTTAATTATTTCTATTCTTCTACTAGTTTTGGGTTTGGCTTGCTGTTGTTTTTCGAGATCCCTGAGATGCATTGATAGCTCATTTATTTGGTGCCTTTCCAACTTCTTGATGTAGGCAACTATTGCTATAAGCTTTCCTCTTAACACTGCTTTTTCTGTACCCTATAAATTTTGATATGTTGTAGATTCATCTTCATTTGCTCCCAGAAATGTTTTTATTTCTCTTGCTTTCTTCAATGACCCACTGTTCATTCAGGAGCGCTTGTCATTCTCCATGTGTTTGCATATGTCTAGAGATTCCTGAGTTGCTGATTTCCTGCTTTATTGCATTGTGGTCTGAGAAGATGCATGGTATGATTTTGATTTTTTTGAATTTTCTGAGACTTGTTTTATGGGGTGCTAGCATGTGGTCAATCCTATACAAAGTTCCATGCACTGCTGAGAAGAATGTGAATTCTGCAACTGTATGATGGAAAGTTCCTTAGATATCTTCTTGTCCATTTTGTCAATAGTGTTAACTCTGTTGTTTCCTTGTTGGTTTTCTGTCTGGTTGATCTGTGTATTGCTGAAGTGGGGTGTTATGTCCCCCATTACTATCGTATCTGAGTCTAAATCTCCTTTTAAATTCATTAACATTTCTTTTAGATAGCCAGATACACTGTAATAGGTGCATATACATTTATAATAGTCACTACTTCCTGTTGAATTGATCCCTTAATCATTATATAGTGTTCTTTTTAGTCTCTTTTAATAGTTTTTGTGTTAAAGTCTATTTTGTTTGATAATAGGATGGCTACACCAGCCCTTTTTGGTTTATGTTAGCATGGATTATATTTTTACATCCTTTCACTTTCAGTCTGCATCCATCTTTGTTAGTAAGATGTGTTTCTTGTAGGCAGCAAATAGATTTTTTTTTTAATCCATTCAGCCAGTCTTTGTCTTTTAGCTGGAGAGTTCAGACTACTTACATTCAAGGTTACTATTGTTAAGTACTGACTTTGCCCTGCCATATATCTATTAATAGTCCTAATTTTTTATTTTGGGTTACCTTTGTACTTTTACTAAGCCATTTTCTGAGTTCATTTTCTTTTGTAGTGATGTTCCTGTTTCTGTGTGTAGCACACTCTTGAGCATCTTTTGTAAGGCTAGCAGGTAGTTACAAATTTTTTAACTTCCGTTTGTTGTGGAAGATCTTTATTTCTCCTTCATTTGTAAATGAGAACTTTGTAGGGTATAGTATTCTGTGTTGACACTGTTTTTTCTCTTTGGACTTGGAATATATCTCTTCATTCTCTTCTTGTCTATCGAGTTTCTAAAAAGAAGATTTCCTCTGAATGTGATTTGGTGTTTCCCTTGTGCACATTTTAAGATATTTTCTCTATGTTTTACTGTGGGGGAGTTTTACTACAATGTGTTGTGGTGAAGATCTTTTCTGGTCATGCCTATTGGGAGTTCTTTGTACTTCCTGTACTTGGATGTCTCCTTTTTTCTCCATATTGGGGAAGTTTACTGTTATTATTTCATTAAGAAGGCCTTGTAATCTTCTCTTTCCACACTTTCTGGAACTCCTAGGATCCATATGTTGTGTCATTTGATAGTATCTTGTATATCTCCAATTGTGTTTTTCAGTTTTCTAATGTCTTCTTTTTTTTGGTCTGACTGCAATATTTCGAGAAATTTGT